TCCCCCATTTCCATGGACCAAAGTGCACAAAAACGGACAAACAGACAAAACCCTTCTCTCCCGAGGATGGGCGTTCAGTGGGGTCACCAGGTTTTGGTTATGTCATGTCACTGATCGGTATGTGATTCCATGTGGATATTTACCAGAGAGGAGAGCCAGCAGCGTGCGGGCAGTTGGGCAGACGGGGTGTTCGGACGCCGGAGGGTACCCGTGACGCCCGGCGTAGGAGGGGACGGGCCCTCCGAAGACGGTTAAGTCAAAGGATTGGAAAGAATATTTCCCATGGACCTTTTCTGGGAACTAGAAGGCCTGGGAGACACACCTCAGCCCATTAATCAGCAGAACACCTGGGATGGGGAGGTCGTGATGGAAGACGGGGCAGCCCGGGACGGTCTGGCTTCAAGGTCGTCTCAGACGCCCGCGTGGTACGGCGACAGCGCAGAACGCTGGGGCCACAGATAACTCTGGAGAGACAGAGCATGAGGGGCGGCGGTCATTACCAGAACAAGACCGTCCTCGGGGCGGACCGATGGCGCTAACAGAAATGTGGATTCGGTGTTCAGAAAAGACAGTCTCTGTGATCACTTGAAATAGAGCGGATATCCCCAGAGAAAACGGGCAGAGAAAACGTGAACCGAACTGCGAAACACGCAGAAGGCCAAAGGAAAGAGCCTCAGGGCGACTGAAGACGCCCGGCCTCGCTCAGCTGTGCTGACAAACGCACACTGGGTCTTCCTACGGAAAAGAAGCTGGACTTTGGGCTAAAGGGTGACTCCCCCCGCCCAGACCGATCATGGCATTTACAAGAGACAGACCCAAGAATCGTGCCGCAGAGAAGTGACAAGTGACACGGTCCCGGACAAACGTGAGCAGATACGAGCAGCGGCAATGGGATCAACAGACAAAAGGGCAGAATTAAAACAAGAAACCACACAGGGTGAAGGGGAGGGCTTAGCACGACAGCAAATCGCGAGCATCGTTTATAGAACAAACACAGGACTCTGAAAGGCGGTGAGAAGACGGGCGGCCGGGGCCTCGGGACCTCGGGACCTCGGGCGCGAGTTGGTGGTGAGCATCCTGGCCCTATCCCCGCCTCACTCACGCTCCCGGGGCCTGAGCTGGGGAAGCGACAAGGCGCTGCAGACACCTGCACCCCGAGCCGAAATGATGAGGAAAGGTGCAGCCTGGCCGAACGGGGGCGCTTAGTGATGGCTCCGTACTGCCCTCCTCCAGGCAAGCGCCACAGGAAACGCGGCCCAGCCCCCAGCAAAGGCAGGACGGGGCAGTCCCTTTGCTTGCGGGGCTGCCGCAAGGCGCCCAAGGGGCTCCCTGGGGGGTGGTGTCGGGGATGCAGGCAGGGAGCCTCGGTAACGAGGCCGCCTGCCCCCCAGAGTGTCTGAGGAGGATGCATGGGGAGCAAAAACCAGGACGATCTCACACAACAACCAACAGAGGCCGCACTGATGACCGATGTTAGGGTTATCCGGAAAAGATTGGAAAGCAGCTGCAAAAAAAAAAAAAAAAGAAAAGAAAAGAAAAGAAAAATGGTTCATTTCTGAGCGCATTGAGATAAGCGGGAAAACAAAGTCTCAGCAAAGAAATAGAAGATATAAAGGAGAAGCAACGGAAATGTTAGAACTGAAAATGACAGTGGCTGAAATAGAAGCGAACGGCCGGAACCCTCCACACGCGCGCTCTCTGCGGCAAGCGGAGGCGAGGAGCCAGCACGGTGGACAGAGGGAGACGAGTGGTCCCGTCTGATAAACAGAGAGGAAAGAGACTGGCAAGAACACGAACAGAGACTCAGAGAACGAATGTGTGTGTCGGTGGCGACCTGGGAAAGAGGAGAGCGGGCCGAAAAGTATCGAAAGAAACGAAGGCTGACGGCTCCCCCGATCTGGCCAAACACCTGCAGATTCGAGACGCCGAGCGATTCCCCAACCGGTTAAACCCAAAGAAAGCCACCCGGAGACACGCCAGAGGCGGACTTCTCAAAACTGAAGACACAGAGAAAAAGGAAAAGAAAAGCCATGGACGGCGGCGAGGGAGAAACGAGGCTTTGCCTCCTGGGGAAAAGCAGTTAGGACGAGAGCAAATTTCTCACCAGGAAACACAAAGGCTCAAAAAGCATGACATTCTTCGAGGGCAGGAGGGAAGCGTGGCCCGCCCGATGCCATGCCCGGGGGCAGCGACCTTCGGGGAGGAGCAGGAAGGCAAGACAGATGAAGGATGCGATGTGTCACCGGAAGGCGCACCTCACAAGCTCTAGCGGACGGGAGCCGGAGACTGATCCCTGAAAGGAGAGAGGTACAGACCCATGATCGCAGCTGAACCTGGGGCGTCAACA